ATTCAGAGATAAAGGATCACACTTCTTCAGATGTATGCTACTATACCACACACACCACCAAGACACCCATAGCTCACCATAGTCTGTTGGGCCTCAATTCTAAAATCAGAGTTCTAGGGTTTGTTGTTAATGTGTTTCTGTTGCTTTGTTTTCTATCTCTATATTCCATATGTAAGTGAAACCATGTAATATTTGTCTTTCCCATTCTAACTTATTTTATTTGGCATTGTCCTTTCCAGTTCCATTCATACTGTCACAAATGTTTGTTTTTGTAAATGAGTAGCATTCTGTTTTGTGTGTACACCACATCTTCACAATACACTCAACAATCTTTGGCACTTAGGTTGTTTTCTATAACTTAGCTATTATAAATAGTGCTGCAATGAACACAGGAGTGCATATGTCCCTTATAATACGTGTCTTTGTATGTTTCAATTCGATACCTGTGGGTGGAATTGCTGAATTAAACGGTGAATCTGTTTAGATTTTGGGAAACCTCCACACTGTTTTCCATAAGGGCTGGATTGATCTACATTCCTACAGAAGTATGAGGACTCCTTTTTCTTCTCACCACTCTATCTTTTCAATATGGGTCAGTGTCATTAAGTATGAGGTCGTCTCACATTGTGGTTTTGATTTGCATTTCCCTGATGATAAATGATATTTTTTTATGTGCCTGCTGACCATCTCTATGTGTCCTTTGGAAGTGTCTCTGTAGCTCGTCTGCTCATTTTTTCGATTGGGTTATATGTTTTCTTGTTGAATTGTATGAATTATTTGTGGATCCTGAATATCAGCCCATCATCAGATGTCTGATGTGAAAATATTTTCACCCATTCAGTGTATGGATGTGTGTCTTTCTGTTTTAATGGTAGTTTCTTTCACTGTGAGGAAGTATTTTAGTGTAATTATTTATATTATTTTTTCAACCACATCATTGAAGTCAACATTGTGTAGTGTTTTCCTTCCATTTGGTTTAACTGAGTAGTTGAAATAACTCCATTTTCTTTTTGTAAAGGCTATCTGGCTACATGTATGTGTGTGTGTGTTTGGGTGTGTGTATATATATATGCAAGAGCCTCTGAATTTAATCAGAACAATCCAGATAGCCAAGAACTTCAGCAAAATCCAAGCTTTATTTATATAAGTATAAATAAATAAATAACAGGTAGTAAACCAATATGAAAGGAGAATCTTAACTGCAGCCAGAGGAGAAAAGACAGTTCAGCAGAACGACAATAAGAGTGGTTTTATTAGGCATATATATATATATATATATATATATATATATATATATATTTATATGTACTCTAATGATTACAATGTTTCTCTTTTTCACTTCCTTGTACTTTCCTTCCTTTTCGATTAACTGAGTATTTTAAATAACTTCATTTTATCACATCACCGTAAATCATTATCCAAGGATTTTTCATGAAGAATGTTTTAAAAATATGAACATTTTATTCTTCTTTAAGAACTTTTTGCTGTTGCTGTCATATATTTTACTTCTATATTATTGCGCTGTACTATTTTGCATTTATAATTAATTGTCTTTTAAAATGATTAGAAAAAAAAGTCTTTATATTCCAAATTTACATACTTATTTACCATTTCCAGATCTTTTCATTTCTCCCCACAAATTATATTTTTACATCAGAATTTTGTATATATGTATACTGTCAATAACTTCTCCCTAGACTTTCATGAATATTAAAAAGCTTGTTACACTATTCTTTGAAGTTTATTGCCACTGTATATGGAGTCATAGCTTGAAAATTTGGGTTTTTCTTTAAGAACTTTAAAAATGCCATTTCACTAGCATGGTTCCCATTGTTCCTAATAAAAAGTTGACCATCATTCTTATTCTTATTCCTCTGAACTGTCTTTTCTCCCCTGGCTGCCTTTAAGATTTTCTATTCATATTGGCTTACTACCTGTTATTTATTTATTTATACTTATACTGCTTGGATTTTGCTGAGTTTCTTGGCTATTTTATTATTTTTATGAAATTTGAGGGTGAGTGCTCTTGCAGTTATTTCATTTCCTTTGCATCAGATTTTTTTGTTGTTGTTTATTCTTTTAATTGTGGCAAAATTAAGGTCCTCCCCATTGGGTCGCACCACCTTAGGGTATCCACCACTAAATCACCCTCAGTCCACCATCATAGTCCATTGTGCTTCCTTCCCTGGTTGTTCTTACAGAATTTTGATATCATGTATATTTGCTCTATGATATTCACCTGCCTTGAGATATGTTAATACTACTCATGTTGTGAAATACTTTCTTTCTGTCCTTCATATTTCTTTATTTCTACTAATCTGTCTTTACAATCATTAGTTATTTTATTTGCAGAGTACAAAATGTGATTCCCTCCTTCAGAGAACCTCTTTCTGATTTCGAATAGTCATTTTCAGGTCTTACACAACCACCTATGTTTATAGTTTTCAGTTCTCTCCTTAAAATATATATCTCTTTATAAATCATTCATTCATTATATTATAGTAGTTTTGTAAAGTCATTACGTGGCAATTCCATCATATGATTCAATTGAGAATATGTTTAATTATATTTTTATTATTAATTATGAAATATTTCCCTGCTTCATTTTCTTGATCTGGTTTCTAATTTTTTAATTATATTCCTAACAGTTTTTATTAAAAGTTCAGAAGCAGATGAAGACTTATATTTCCTTTTACTTTGATTAGTTATTCAGAGTTATAATTTCTCCTCAATCTTGAAGTTAGAATGAAGATTTAATCATTTTTATTCTTTCAAAGGTTTATATGAATTGGAATTTGGAGTATTCTCTAAAATTTTTTATTTAATTTAGATTAGATTTATCTCCATCATCTGCCAGTTACCACCAAGAAGCTGATATCTTGGTTCTTGTCAATATTTGGAATTGTAAGGTGTTCAAGCCATAATTGACCTAGTTTTGCTTCCCTGAGGATTCAACTCTGGAAATATCAACATTTACGTAGTATGGTCATGAATGAGAATATGCAAATTCCCTCTGATTTTCATTTCTCCCTCTACTGTCTCTTTTCTGATTAAATTACTGGCATAGGTACCAATGAGGGGTAGAGGGAAGAAATGTGAATTATTTATTTTTGTATTTTGAGTTTTTATAGATTCTTCTTTTAATCCATTATCCAGAACTTGATTTGATTTGATTTGATTTGATTTGATTTGATTGAGCTAAAATTGTTTTACAGCATTGTATGTCATCCAGAGGTATAGGTACACTTTCCATATATTATAAAAAGCTCAGCTTTTTTCCCCATAATCCTTCCAAAATACCTGAAAGTCTTTGGCAGCATCAATCTTCCATTTCATAATGTCCAGATGAAGCATTTCCCATGCGTATGGAAGTTGTCAATGCTCTTGAGCCATTTATACAGACCTAGTCCCTCTCGGAACTCAATACAATAAGGTTTCTTGCTTCATCCATTCTCTGATAACCTCATAGAAAATTGTACTCTTTATTTTGAACTTTCCTCATTGTTGATAAGGCATGAGAATATTTCTTCTACAAACCAGAATCAGAATCAGTGGATTTTATGCTTGTGGTTGGTTTTTTGAGGATAAAACTATTTTTACTTTTGTAAGCCTTTTCATTTTTTCCTTTGTAATTTCCATTCAGCCCCATTTCTTTTGGTCTATCTCTATGTCATATTTATTTATTAGAATTTTTCATGTACCAAGTAGACTAACTTTCTATCAGTTGGATTAGTATTCTGATTTTTTATGCATAAATTCCTACCTCCCTTAGGTAGGAAGGAAACATTCAATTTCCATGCAAACCTCTATAATTGTGCAAGAAAAAATCAACACAGTCAAATGTGGTAAGCATATTTTTGTCATTCTTTGTCTTTTGCCTACACATATTTTGATGTGCCAAATTTAACTATTTTTATCATAATTAACTGCCTATTTTTAACTCAATGGCTATAAAATCATTATATTTTACCTTCAGTTTTCACTTTGTTTTGTTCTTCAAAACATGTTCCTTGGGGCCTTTCATCTAAAGCTCCAAATTTTGACTATCAAGTGTATTTATGCAAAATGTGACTTTAGAGAAAAAAACTAGAGAGACAATAACATGAAAAGTTATTCTCTGTCATTCTCCTGATCACAGGACATAGCTAACAGGTACATTTGTTGGCCAGGACCTAGAAAAGTGGCTTCGTGTCTTCCCAGGCACCTGATTGCTGCAGGATGGATCACCTGATAATGGTTTTTCCACAATCTTGTCTCAATACCCAGCACAGAGAATGGTCTTCTACCCATTGAAAGATTTTATAAGTATCTAAGCTCCACATTAAACTCAATTATCCTTAAAACAACTAGAATTATTTATGTAATCTTCAATAGAATCTGAAGTACCAAATAACCACCATTATCATAATCAGAATGAAATCAATTGAGGGGAGGTCTTAACATAAAAAGGTTCTGATAATTATAAAACTCTGAAAAAAAAAATCAAGTGAAATAATTTTATAACCTTTTTCTGTAAAACTAATTATCTTTCTTTCTTCTCTGCCATATTGGCTGAAGGATAGAGAGAGAGAAATTTTCAAAGCAGTTCTCAGTATAACATTGGGCTTTTAATCATGTTTTGATCTTCACCCAGAACCTTGATAAGATTATTCTAAGCCACAGAAGAAACATTTGTGAATTATCACTCTTATTGAAAATATTAAGAAGAATTTTTACTGTAATTAGAATAGAGGGGGAAATTCCTAATCCAAGGTTAAAATACTTACGTTATTTGACTCACGCACTCCTATGTCTTTCACACTTACTCATTCTGGACACACAACCATTCTGGACTTCTTTTATAATCCTTAAACATAGCAGATTAACACTCTCATTCCCCCCCACCTTGTCCATAGTAGTACTTGAGAAATAGGAAACATTCAACAAAAAGCATTGTCAAGTGAGTAGATGATTTTGCACCTGTAATTCCCCCATCTTGATTTTTTTTTTATAAAATCCATTCAACAAGCCACATGCCTACTCAGTAACCTCCTCATGGAAGATTTTACTTCCTGATTGCGAAGGGTGTAAATCACAGGGTTCATCAATGGAAAGATGACTGTGTGGAAAAAGGAGACCACCTTGTCAGCTGGTAAGGCTCTGAAGGGGCGAGTGTAGATGAAAATGGCAGGTCCAAACATGAGAAATATAATAATGACGTGGGTAGTACATGTGGACATGGCCTTGGTCTTCCCTTCAGACGCAGACCCCCGGACGTGGCAGAAGATGACCGCATAGGAGGCCAAAAGCCCCAGGAAGCACAGGAGGGTGAGGAGGCCACTGTTGAAGACCATCAGGAGCTCCACAGTGAAGGTGTCTGTGCAGGCCAGCTTGATGACCTGTGGCACGTCACAGAAGAAGTTATCCAGCTGATTTGGGCCACAGAAGGGCAAACGGAGAATGAGCACCACCTGAATAATGGAGTGGATAAAGCCTCCAAACCACAGAGCCAACAGCAAGACATAGCAGGTTCTAGGGTTCATGACAGTGGAGTAGTACAAAGGCCGACAGATGGCGATATAGCGGTCAAAGGCCATCACAACAAGGAGTAAACCCTCCCCGCCTCCAAGGAAATGCAAGAAAAAGAGCTGAGTGATGCAGCCTCTGTAAGAGATTACCTTCTTCTCAGAGAGGAAGTCCACCAGCATCCTGGGAGCCACAATGAAGGAGTAGGATGCATCCAGGAAGGCCAAGTTGCCCAGAAAGAAGTAGAGGGGGGCAGAGAGGCCAGGGTCTAAGTTGATGGTAAGGATGATAAGGAAGTTTCCAGGGAGGATGATGAGGTAGAAAGTTAAGATCAACACAAAGACTAGAAGCTGAATGTTTGGAGACTGGGTCAGACCAAGGAAGATGAACTCTGTCACCAGTGTGCTGTTTTCTTTCTCCATCTCCCCTGCCTATAGAACATCAAGGAATACAGAGTTTATTTCTATCTCTTCTGTCTGTCATAGCTCTTGAACTAAAGGCAGTGTATGCCACATCTATGTTAAACATTAACTCTGCTACAACCTAAGAACTCTTTTCTACCTTTTATCCTGTATTTCTTAGCCAGAGCAGTCATGTTCGTAAGGTTTTTATTTGAATGGAAGGTATGATAGGAGAATGATTGACAACAAAGTGGAATGATTTTTTTTTAAGTGACAAAATATGCTGTGTCTTGATTGTAGTGGTTACAGTACCTACTTGTTAAAACTTACTGCACTAGGTCCTCCCTGGTGGCACAGTGGGTTAAAGCACAGTACTAAGAAGCTAAAGCCACTTCAGCATGAGTTCAATCCCTGGCACCAGAGGTGATCTACATGGCACAGCATACCTCTCCTTACCCACCTGCCAACTGATGTACTTCTTCAGTCAGCCTGTTCTGCTCTGCACTCTGTCTCTGGTGTCTCTTTCACTACCCCTGCACCTCTGGCCTGTACCCCAATTCTGTATGCATAAATAAATAAATCTTTAAAAAAAAAAACAAAAACCTACTGAACTACTAAGACCATACAGCAATGTGTATATTCATTACATGTGAAACATGTATTAGGGAAGTTGACCTAAAAAGTAAAAAATAAACCAAGCTATATTTATTTAAATGATCTCTTTTTTTTTCTCTAAGAATATCAACCCATCATTTTGACTAAATAGAAAAAATACTAGTCATTCTAAAGCTATTGAGATCTGAGCTCTTGTTTGTACAGTGGTCTCCCAATTGAAAGTGAGCTCAGCTAATCTACATAATAATTTATTGTTATGAAACCAACAGTAAAATTTGTGTACATATATTGCTATATCCCATTCATTGAAGCTTTACTTTTGAAAGGATTATAGTTTACATAGAAACAAGGTATAATTGAATATAAAATAAAAAACAGGATGCTTATGCATACTCAAAATTTGTTTATTGCTGAGATAAAAATTTCAAATCTTGAAGACCCTTGAATAGAGCAAAATACAACAATGTGATACAGAACAATATGTCACATGTTCTCAGTTGTTTTTAAACACTGTTGTGGAACATGGAGTGTACTGAGGAGAAAAGGAAAGGTCTCCATGTACACATGTGTAAACATGCACAGCACACACATTGTTTTCTCAGCAAAAATAAAGGTCAAAAATTTGAAAATGGAGTCATCCAAAGCAGCTCTTCTCTGTTCCTTCCTTCCTTTCTCCCTTCCTTCTTCATAATCTCCTTTCCCCCCTCCTTCCTTCTTTCCTTTCTTTTTGTTAATTAGCATTCATTAACTTTAATATTTAGCACTCTTTCTGTGCAAAAATCTTGTTAGGAAAGTAAATCAGAAATCTCTATTTCCTCCTCATGTGCATGACATTACACAGTTTATTATTTCACACTCTCACTATGTGTGATTTTAGGAGATAAAAGAAATTAAGGTTACCATTTACAGACCCTTCCATTGTGCCTTGAATTTTACTCTCTATCATGTTCTTTTGTTCTTTTATTGACTCTTTAATGATTGAATTCATTATCATTAACATCCTTCACATCTGTGTAAAGTTAAGACCGAGTATTAACTACTCCAATTCAAAGGTTTTCTATAACTTCAATAAGTAATTATAAATATTAGGAAGAATTAGAGCTATATTACTGAGAACAGTTAAAAAGTGCTACCATTATTAGAGAATCCAGGCTTCATCAATTAGTCTATTTCTGCTACAATTCTGACTCTTGCATTCTAAGCAGCAGATGCTCCATCTTAAGAGTTATTACATCTGTTTCCATTCATTCCTTCTTTCTGTTCCTTGTAAATACAAAGAATGACAAAAATATTTACCTTTCCAGCAATCCAACACTACTTTCACACAGCAGACATCACCACCTAATGGAAGGGACAGTAACTGATTATCTTGTTTGTTCTCAAATATCTCTTCTCACAGAGGGGCCTCTTACATGGTGAAATACATGGCCAATTTCTGACGTAACCGAGAATGTACTTTGGGAATTTGAAGGCTAACAAAGCTATGGAACACTTTCAATGGGAATTATTAGAATGCCAACAACATATAATCAAAGAATTAAACTAGTGGTCTATTAGGTACAAATACTCAAATATATATCGGTGATGAAAGATACACTGTCACTTCTGGACTCTCTTATATCTACATTGTGTCAGTGACAGAGATCATTGAATTACAAATATATTTATTAAGTCTGAGTGAGTAGAAAGTTATATCTTATGCTACCATTCAAAAAGAAAACTGCTTAGTTGGTGGTAAATTATTAGCATAAAAAGAAAGGGGATAATGTAGTCAAGTACGTGTTAAATGTTTAGATTAAACATTTCTGATGAGAAAGGAACAGTCAAGGAGAGAATAATGATATTCACGAAGACTCCTTTACAAAACCCTTCTTACTTAAAGAAACTGCTTGTTGAAGGAATGACTGATTCCTATGGCAGAAGTGTTCCTCTAACTAGATCTTATTGTGGTCTTGATATATGATGTTTTTCATTTTTAGAATAATTGTCTCCTTTGCCCTGCTACAGTGATAATGAGGAACTACTTCTTTTTCAATTGAATATTATTAAACAGAAGGAAAATAACTATGAAACATGTAGTAGAAAGCAACATAAATTTTGGTAGATTTGATTTTGGTATTTTTTTTAAAAAGTACTTCCTAGCTGTCTAAAAAATTAAAATACTATACAAAAAATTTTAAATAAACATCGTATTTATCAGTCATGCTTCATTCCAATATGTTTATTTAGAGACAAAAGGAGTAGTGGAATGGGAAAGAGGGATATATATCAGCAACAAGGAGGGGGAAATTGAATAGGAACAAAGGCACAGATCATATTAAGAAAATAGGAACTGAACATGGAAAAAACAAAGTATGGAACTACATTCTATAAAACCCCATATACAAATAAGCCTTCCAAATAGAAGACAAGTGCTTACTAAAAAAGAAACAAGAGATGAAATATATGGAGAAATGTGGGGAGAAAAATCCCCATTTTCAATATATTATAGTCTTTAATGCCACCAAAGATTTTTTAAAGTGTGATTTGCTTCATAGCTGTAGACATAGTCAGTGAAATTAATTTCTAACATTTACCACAATACCTAAAATCCTCAGAATGGTGACTTATTTTTCCTGGAAAAAGATGTGTTTTTTTAGATAACGTTAGAAACTAAAACTATAAGCCAGACTATAATTCCTGGGAATTCTAATTTCTAATTCATGGAGACAAGCAAAAAACAAACACGCTTGAGAGAGAACATCTGACAGTGATGAATGGATGAAGGCTGTGTCAGAAAAACAGTGATACGCTCAGAGGGAGAGAGGAGACTGCAGGGTATGCTGCCTGCAGAGCCTGTCGGGAAGTGGTGTTTGGCTGAGACCTGACTGCCTAGAATATGCCACCACGTGAAGATATGAAGGAAACGTTGACAAAAGCCACAAAGCAAGAAGGGGATGGTGCACTGAATAGAAATGAAGAAAAAGCAACAGAAAGGCCAGTGTGGCAAGATAGTAGTTAGCAAATGGAGGGGGGGGGCAGTGTGCAAGTGAGGCAGAGAAGAATCAGTCATAGACAAAGGACAATCAGTCACATTTTATGTGAAATGTTAGAAGCGGAGGTGTGCCATTATCTGATCCACATTTTAAAAAGATATTTCTGAGTACTAATGAAGAATGAGTAGTAGAAAACAAAGGGTAGAAATAAGGAGACTGGCCTGGAGTATTTTTTTTTAATATGATAGTTTATTTTTACATTATTTTGTGCATTTTTCCATATCAGTTGTAATCCCCGTGGGCTTCCCATCACCAAATCACCCTGTGCCACCACCATAGCCCTGTGCCATCACCATAGTCCAGTGCATTTCCCTCCCCCCACTGTTTTTGATCCCATTCCCCACTCCACCCCCATAAAATGTCTCTGGTATATAACTATTCATCATTATCATTATTTTCTCGCCTGGTCCTTTATATTCCTGCTATGAGTAAAACCATCCAGTATTTTTCCTTTTCTTTCTGGCTTATTTCACTAAGCATGATCTTCTCCAGCTCCATCCATGTTGTTGCAAAAGACATGTGTTGTGTTTTTGTTTGTTTGTCTGTTGAGTAATATTCCATTGTGTATATGTACCTCGTCTTTTTAATCCAGTCATCCATTTTTGGGCATTTGGGCTGTTTCCATGTCTTTCCAATTGTAAATAAGGCAGCAATAAACATGGGGTGCAGGTATCTTTTTGAATCAGTGTTTTTGTGTCTTTTGGGTAGATACCTAGGAGTGGGATTGCTGGGGCATACAGAAGCTCCATATTAAGCAGTTTGAGGAACCTCCAGTTTTCCATAGTGGTTGTACTAATTTGCATTCCCACCAGCAGTGCAGGAGAGTTTGCAGGAAAGACAGTAGGTTAGGAGAATTGAGGAGGGACAGGAGAAAAAGGGAATATTTTACACCAAAGATATATCTTACAGGAATAATAAAGAGGGTTATGGTTTTTCTTTTTTAATGTTTTATTTTAATTACATTTTTTACTGAGGCAACATTGGCTTATGACACTATATATGATTCAGAGGTTCACACCTCCTCAGATGTATGTTACCACACCACATCCACCACACGGTGCCTGTAGTCCTCCACCCCATCCATTAGTCCCCTCCATCTTTTGACCCTGCTGTCTCCCTCCCTCTGGTAGCCTCAATTCTACAGTTAAATTACTGTGGTTGTTTTTGCATGGTTTTGACTGCTTCTCAATACTCTACATATGAGTAAAACCATCTGGTATTTACCTGTATCTTTCTAATTTATTTTGCCTAGCATAATCCCCTCCAGTTGCATCCTTGCTACAAATGTCAAGATTTCACCTTTTTATGTGTGTATAGTATTCCATTGTGAATACACATCATGTCTTGAACTAGTCTTCTGTCTATAGGCAG